TTTTTAAAAAATAAAAATTATTTAATATTTTATTTTATTAATTTAAATTAATATATAAAATAATTTTATAATTATCTAGATCTGAATGAATGAAAAGAGTATGTTTTGAAATTTTTTTAAAAATCAGAAGTAGAGACTGTGGTGGTAGGAAGCGAGGAAGTTGTGCTTCTGCTATTGGAGTTTCAAGGTCATTGGATCCGATCCCTCTCTCTCTTTCTCTCTTTCTTATTTTATGTTCTTTGAATTCATGCCTATGCTAGCTAGGGTTTCACTTTTCGATGGGATCATTCTACCAAACCTCAATCTCAATTCCAATTTATACAACTCGCCTTACTGCATCATCAATTCATTGGAATGTGGAGGACCTTCAAACAAATGTCCTAATCCACGCCGTTTCTAGTTTTTGGTTTTACGCTTGCTCGCTTCCTTTAATTTGAATAATTAGTTATTAAATTAAACCTGTTGGTTGCTTACATCCCATTCCCATTTGTTCCGATATGTTTTCGTCTCAAGTTCAGATGCTGAATTGCTTGCATATTTAGTTAAGCTTGAAAGTTAAGAATTTGTCATTGATTTCGTTAATTTTTTGTGTTCTGCCCTAGTTAGTGTGTTAATAGTCCTGTTGCTGCTGAATTTTGATAATTAGGGCTGCGCTTTATTATAAGCTTATGTATATATGTCATTTGTAGGTTTTATAATACTACCTCCTCTTATTTATATAAGAAACAACAGGACTGAAGGTAGTATTATTTTTTTTCATTAGGTAAATTCTTCCAGTTGATGAGTCAAGTCTATGAATGCTGTACGAGCTTACATAGACTCTTGAGTTTGACAACCTTGCATGGACTTGTATATAACCTTTATATTTCTTATATTGCAGTTAAATTTAGCAAGTTTCCTCCAGAAAGTTGTTCTTGTAATGGATATAATCTCTCAGTTACAAGAACAGGTTAATTTGATTGCACATTTGGCTTTTAATACTGTTGGGACATTGCAAAGGGATGCCCCTCCTAATCGTCTGTCGCCAAATTATCCTGAACCACCTCCGCATACTACAGAGGATGGGACAAATTTTTCAGAACAGCCAAAGCTGATGAGTTCTGCCTTGGTGAAGGCGGCTAAGCAGGTATGTCCGTATGTAGCATATTAGTCAAAAGAGAAAAGGAGGCTAGTATAGGATACTGAGTTGTTTTATCTTTTCTCAGTGAAGAAAGAATGTAATTTGTTACTAATAAACTATGGAGCCTGGCCATGCCTCATGAAACACAACACATATCAACACTCGACTAGTACACTACACACACACACTAGATTGTTAGCTTAGAAATTTTAAACCCATATTGGACATATGCATAGGACCAAATTAATCAATTAGAGTCTAGCCTCTGTTTTTCTTGTTATGTTAATCTGTACTTCATCTTTATGTATCATGCCTTCTGTCTTCTATATTAAACAAATTAATTTATCAGATCACTTATGAGTGGTCCCTTGAAATATCTGTCGTTTCTTTTGCAGTTTGATGCATTGGTTACAGCACTTCCCATATCTGAGGGAGGTGAAGAAGCACAAATTAAGAGGATTACAGAACTACAAGTATGGAAATAAAAGATAAATATGTTTTTTATGTGATTGAATGGTGTAATTAATAATAACCACTGATGTAATTCGAAAATCTCGTATTTATGTTTTTACATTGTTTCGGCATTTTCCTTTCAGGCTGAAAATGATGCAATAGGCCAAGAACTTCAGAAGCAATTGGAAGCTGCAGGTCTGGCCAGTTTTTTTTTTTATATTTGAAGTCTAAACTTCTATCTTGATTTCTCTTTTATAACATGTGAAAGTATACATTTGTGTTAAATAGAAAAAAATAAGTTTTGTTAAGTTTGATGAAGAGTAAGATTCATGGAATAAGATGTCCTGGTTAATAATTGTCATATATAGAAAATATAAGGACTGTGTTTAATTTGAGAAAAACAATGAAAATTCAAAAGTAATTTGTTTAATTCAATAAAGGCAAGTATGCATGTTATTGGCTTTATATGTGGTTCTTATTCAAATTCTCAAAAATTAAAATAACAAGTGTTTTAGTATATACAATAATATTAAAATTTTAAACGATTTGTGCTTTGTGAATTTTAGAATGTTTTGAGGAATGTGAAATTGCTTAACACTATGTGTTTTTGATGTCAGAGAAGGAATTGAATGAAGTTCAGGAGCTGTTTAGGCAAGCATCAGATAATTGTTTGAACTTGAAGAAACCAGATGACAATTAGCTACTTGTGTTCCTGGGGTGTCAGAGATGAATTTGGCCACAAGTATCTCAACTTGGCACAAAGCAGGGACTACTGCAGGAGGATTTTCCTATTCTCCATGAAATCTTGGTTACCTAAAGAAGCTGTATTCATTAGTATGTTCTAACTTGTACATGTTAAGTGATATTTTGCAGAAGTTGATCAACGGTTGAGATACTGGTAATTGTTCCTGCTCTTGAAGTAATAGGTTTATTGTCATTAAGTGTTTATACTAACACCATCTTTGTTCATGTAGTCTCCAAAAAGTAAACACTTTATAGTGGTGATAGTTCTTTTTAATGAAGCCCGGGTAATTGTGTTTTAAGTATCATTTCCTGAGTTAAGTCATGCGTATTTCAAATAACCTGCTGCGACTATTAACACTCGCACATAATATGTTATTGAATAAATTTAGCATTAACCTTCTAGGAGCGTATCTCGCAAGACTTTTGTTATTGTGAGAAATAAAAATTATAATTCAAGTCATATAACTATACATAGATAATTAAGATTAAAATTTAACTAATGGTCATGTAATTAAATTTGTATATATCTTTTTACTTTTGACTGTTATTTTTTGTCTTTCCATTGGTGATGGGTATTTTCAGTGGTTTTTGTCTTGCCATTCGAAACTAATTCCTCTCGCAGATATGTAATTGTTATTCATTCGGAATTCTTTCTTAACACAAAATTGAACATGGAATTATTTATATATATTATAGTTTGACATAGATTTATAAGTTTTACTTCTCATAATGACCATTTTTTTTGCTCAATGTTTCCAATCATCTGTATATGACTGTGCAAGTAAGATTAGTGACATTAGTTATTAGAACATATTTGCATTTGATATTTTGCATACACATCAAGTGCTCTAATATTTTGAAAGATGGTGTTGTTTATTATCTATTGAATTAGCGTATAGCTTTGAGATTAAAAGAAAACAAAACCAAAGGGGGGAGTTTAGGTCGCAGATTCGATTTCCTTCAATTTTAAATAAAAAATTTATCGTCGTATGTGGTGCACGAGCTTTTAAGGCATATTTCACTATCGTGCAACATTAGCTTGTTTGGGAATATTCTGGAATAAAAATATTTTAGAACGGATATTTTTTATAAATAAAAAATAAAAAAAATGAGCTCAGTATTTAGCAACATTTACTTGCATAATATTGCAGAGATTTATTTGTGTAAATAGTATGAAGTTCTTTTTTTGGCGTAAACCTATTTTATTAGAGAAACAAACGATTTTTAAATATGACAAATACTGAACAAATGATAAATATATTAAGAATGTAATATTGATATACTTGTTAAAAATAATTTGATAGTATTATTATTTATGATTGAATGAGTAATAACAATAAAATGCTAAGTTCATTAAACTTGGACGCATCATGATACCATGCCGAGTACATTAAATTCATGACAGTATATTTTTCACTAAATAGTGTATAATAATAAAATGCCCACAATAGTTTTGTCTAATGCTATTCTAAAGGCAACTAACCTAAAATAATTTATTGATAAAATAATGCCATTTTATTGTGTAAATAAGATATATTTTGTGAATCTCACTCAATCAATCCAACTTGACCAAAATGTAATAAACAGTTATTTCTCCCAAGATCAGTTCTACTCATCACGATATTGATTTTTCTCCCCCACTTGGCAAACTACCTAAACAGAAAAGCTACGAATTCTTGTAATGAATAGAAGGAGCAGGCATGACCACTGATCAGTGGCTGAACGCATACATGAACAACGAATAAAAATTATTTCACTTTTCAACTTTTGGGAATAAGGAGGGGGGTTACAAATACAAAATTCATTTCTATCAGTTAACATATATTTAACTCATAAGCAATATTAACATATATTAATTTAATTCACAAGTCAAAGGGACCTAATCTGTAAAATGTTGGTTAAGACGCTTCATGAAGCTGTTTTGTCCAGTCAAAGTGATTCCACTCTTTGGAAAAGGTAGCAACTGCTTGCTTTTGCACCTCGACTGCGTCGTAGCGTCGTCGCCTATACATGTCTTCCTCTGCCAAATGTAGCATGCCTCTTAAGACATTCAAGCCAAGGCTGCTGTTGAACTGCTTTTCATCATCAATCACATGAACAAAACCCTTGTTTAGACCAAATTCAACGTGGAAATATGGAAAATGCTTCGGAATTGAATTGCGCAATCCCTTTTGACTTGTGTCGATAAGTTTCTTTGCATTGTGCTGACTCCACTCATCTTCAGCTTCATCAATCGCCTGTGATTTTAAAGAGTTTAGAATTTTAAAATTCACATACATAAAAATAAAAATAAAAATATTAAATGAAGTGATAATGAATAGATAAAAGAGAACCATCAAAAACAAAAACACAAGATACAATAGGTTTTTTATCACAAGCCCTGGAATTCCAATGCTCAAGTGAAACTAGATAACATGGGCGGGCGACAAGAGAAATATCATTTAACAAACTTGTTCATATCTAGTATGCTTCTAATAATATTTGCCACTCATCAAAAGATAATATGTAGCAAGGGTGTACAAATAAAACCATAAACTGCACTGAACCGCATCCAAAAATAAAACCAATTAAACTAGCTTATAGACCACATTCAGGGTGGTATTTAGTTTTAAGTTTTTAATTTTTTAAAAATCAAAACCAGTTTTTGGTTTTTAGTTTCAATTAGGATTTTAGCCAATGTAATGTACAAGCTAAATATTTATTATATAACTAAAATTTATAAATATATATATATATACAAATAAATATTATGTTTGAATATATAAACCACATTTAAAAATTATATAAATAGATATTTTCAAACTTATAAATTATATTTTAGAGTTATCATAAGTAATCTATATTGTAGCAAAATATTATTTTTATTTATTGATAATTTTTTTTAAAATATTAAAATTCAATTTGTAAATAATTATAATAAACAAAAATCGAATTAGATAAAAAATTAAAAAAAAATCCTAAAACCCTTCTCGTACAAGATAGAAGTTTGTGTTTAATATATAGAAGTTGATTTGTATAAATAGATATTTTTAAATATATAAATTATATTTTAGAGTTATGATAAGTAATCTATATTATAGCAAAATATTATTTTTATTTATTGATAATTTTTTAAAAAATATTAAAATTCAATTTGTAAATAATTATAATAAACAAAAATCAAATTAGATAAAAAATTAAAAAAATTCCTAAAAACCTCGTACAAGATAGAGTAGGTTTGTATTTAATATATAGAAGTTGATTTGTATAAATAAATATTTTTAAATATATAAATTATATTTTAGAGTTATGATAAATAATTTATATTGTAGCATAATACTATTTTTATTTATTGATAATTTTTTAAAAAAATATTAAAATTTAATTTGTAACTAATTATAATAAATAAAAATCAAATTAGATAAGAAGTTTAAAAAATCTATAAAAACTCTTTCGTTAAAGAAAAGTCCCTAAAAATGCTTTTGTGCAAAATAAAGGTTCATATTTAATATATAGGAGTTGATTTTTTTGTTTTCAGTTTTGAAAAATTATTGTAGTTTTCTTTTAACCAGTTGTTTGACAAAATCAATTCTTTCACAAATCATATATATATACTTTTTAGTTGCCGATTCTTCCATCATAAATAATGAGTTTACATACACAATCATCATCAATCTAGGAGCAATAAAAACATAGAAAAGCCACTATTTTGGGCTTCTATGGCAGCCACTATGGCCACTATAGAAAACTGCTGCACTATTTGAATCCCGTGGCAGCCCAAGGCCGCTCTCCTATCCCACTATAGCTCGTTTTTAACTACTATGCATCATATATGAGTATGACCGTATAGATTGCTACAGTAGTTCAGATCAATTGCTCAAGAAGCCAAGGAAGAAACTCTAAAAACTAGCCTTAAGAACACAACACCATTATGCAATTATGTGCAGCCTGATAGATTAATAGTTCATTTCACGGATGCATAAATGAAAAGCATCATTTTTGAAGGAAGAAGTTAGCAATCAAATAAAATAATGTTTGGCATCTCACCTTTTTAAAGTATAAAGGAGCCTCTTTGGCAATATCTTGGGGTAAAGGAACGCACTCAACCATACAATGATGCCGTTGCTGTGCCAATCCCATCACAGTTTCAAGAAACACTACCTCCTTCTCTTGCTTAGCAAACATCATAATTAGGCACTTCTTGAAGTTTCGAATTTCTGTCCACACATTATCATCCACCGATCTTGTAGCTGATTCATGCTGTCAGATAAAAGGAAAAAAAAAGTTACATAAGTAAAAAATTAAAAAATTTAAAAAAAAATACTTAAGTTGCTTGTGTCAAACCAACTGGCTCAAAAATCTAGTGAGCACTTTCAATTCACATCACATTTACAACTTAATGTTACTTCCAATGCATGCAATAATACTAATCTACAGAATTATCATTCCAATTTCAAGAAAGCAGTATCAAATACACTTTAATTCTCACTACTATGATCCATTTGAATATTCTCCTGGATTCGCATCATTTATCTAGGATCAGTTATAGTCATAAAGGAAAATCTTCAGCTGTTGAATCCCGTCAAATAGCATATTTTTCCATAAGAAAAATATCAAAGAACTGAATCACTCATATTGCAGGATTGAATTCAGTAAACAACAAGCCTACACACTGCTTTCAACTGGTGTCAACTCTGAAGAAACAACAGTAGCAGAAATTGAGGTCACCTGAATTGGTAAAATGCAGCAATGACCCGGCACTACAGGCTGCCACTTTGGCAACATAAGATATGTGAAATTTGCAATTGAAACAACAAGATGCATTGGCCGATTTGGATTTTCTAAACAAAAGAGGCAGCGCTCTTGCTGAGTCAAGAATCGATTTGTCTTGTTTTGGATACTCTTGTGATCATCACCTCCTTGCTTCTTTCTACTCTTTCTGCTTGGACCATCCTCAAAGTCATATTCATCATCAGCCTGAGTAGAAGCCCTAAACTGCTTGTTCTGCATTATCTTGCGAGCAAGATGCATATCAGCATCATCCTCTCCTTTCTTCTGATCAGCAGATATCTTCTGCATAGCATACCTACAAAAAGAAAAATATCCCCATTAAAAACATAAGACTAGAGTAGATAAAGCTGTAGAAACCAACAATAATAATAATGCAACAAATCAAACATGTTTACAAACTTACAAAGAAGAGTAAATAAATGCAAACTAAGTTTAAAAATAAATAAAAAAAGAGTTGCCCTGTTTTTCTGCAATGTGCAAAATGTTGTCACATAAGAAATGAACAAATCAAGTGCTTATGGGATAAAAGAGAACAGAAAAACAAATAACTGAAATCCAAGACAACAAAATACCTTCTAGAGCCTCCCTCGGTTCTTGATCTAATTGTATGATCTTGATTTCCCTGCTTTGTGTTCATAACTTTTGCTTCTTGCTGCCCACCAAAACAAGAACAAAACCAGACAATGAAATCAAAATAATCAAAAGAAACCAAATGGATGTTTTTGTAGACAGTAGATAAATTCAATATGTTGAAATGTTATGTTTCCTTAATTTTTCCTATGTAAATACTATTTGTTTCCTTCAATATGTGACAGCTGCATAATTAGGAAGAATTTGCAGGCTGTAATTACTATATTTAGTCCCTGTAATCAAGATTTTGCCATTAAAAGACAAAGTGCATCTCTCAGAAATTTCAGAACCAATTTCAGTTTTATTTTCAAGTCAATTGACTAGGCTAATGTCGCCTCCTCCCAAAGCAATGTACAATAGAAGCAAAAGGCAAAGAAAGATAATGTACTCTTACAAAGCTAGATTTTTTTTAACTCCTCCCTCTTTCCCACCATCTTCTTACAAGTTCAACTTCCAAGAAAAAAAAAACAATACAAAACATGAAAGAGAAGTACAGACAGAACAAAATGTATAATTTCAGTGCAAGTGATAAAGCAAGACTGACAAAGAAATTTTTTATAAACAAGTAGTAAATCACTGGTGGAAATAATTCGCTGTAGACTTCTCTAGGCAGCAGGAACAGAGAAACCCAGTTTGTCCTTATTCTGGAGGAAGGACCATAATCACAAACATTGAAACCATTATCTAAAAAGGCAGTTTGTTATGGGTATTTCTACATCTAATCTCACATGACGGAATAAACTAATTGCACATATTGCCAAATTCAATGCTAAACAGGCACAGGAAATGGTTGAGAAAAAAAAAATCAGGATGCATTACTTTAATCCACAAAAATGATAAGAAGGAAACAAAGTCTATAAAAGACACCATATTCTCTTATTTTATGCCTTACCATTAGTTTCTCAGCTTCTTCATGTTTTCCCTTCAGACGAAGTTGCATAGCCTTAGCTGCTAACTGGTTTGCACTCATCTCATTCTTGACTATGGCACTGCTTTCTCCAGGTGTTTTTGCTTCCAATGAAACCTTTTCCAATTCAGCACTTCCCAAAACAGAGCTATCAGAATTCTTACTCATCTTGCTGCCAAAATCATGCATAAAGCTTCCATCATTAGTAAACTTGTTTAGGCTAGATACTGCAGCCGAGATGACCCCAGCACCCTCGGCTACAACTTGTTGACTCTTTCGCTTTCCCCAAGATAAAGAATCTTGAACTTTAGGTGCTTTCATTTCATGGCGCCTAACAGAAACATCCTTTAAGTAGTCCTGCCAGAGTTTCATTAGCCAACTTCAGTAAAGTGTAACAGTATATGTTTCCGAATAGCAGAAAAATGAGATTAACACCATAAAATTTATTGGAGGACATAAAACCCATTGAAGGAACAAGAAAGAAATGTGAAAAAGTTCTTTATCTGTTATCAAAGTTACCCTTTTAGAATCCCTTCGACCAAGCTTATCAGAATCTGGTGAATTTTCTTCAGTTATCCCTCTTTGTCTATTTTTTATAGCACATAGATGAGCTCGAGCTGGGGCAGCTGTATGAGATGCAACAGAAACAGTCAAATCACCAACAGAACCCCACCTTTCTTCCACAACCTGCACACATCCATATATAGTAAACAGATTTTACATGATGACAAAGATATCTATTTATATAGGAACAAGGAATATCTGAAAAGCAAGGCATAAAAACCTCATGAAGGTTTCGTCCTTCTCGAGCTGCTTGCTCTTGTGCACGCTTTAAGGCTTTAAGTCTCCAACTTGCGCCTCCATCCCCAACAAGGGAAGAAGATAGAAGTTGTTCAGCACCAACTTTAGCTCCATCACTTTCTTCCGGGTAACCACATCCATTATCCTTCAAATATGGATTCAGTTCCTTAGGATTTACCTTCTTTGACTGAAAAAGAAAGGAAACAACTTAGTCCTTTTATCACTTTACATTGGCTAAGAAAGAAAGATGAATACAAGCTGCAAACTAAATGGAAACATTTAAGACAGACCACAAATGAACAGGCACTTCAACTATTGGAATGTCAACAAGGAAATTGAAACATTGTTCACTAATTCTTATCTTAAATAAAATTCACATATGAATAATATAATACATGAATATAAAATAATTCTCTTGCAGAAGAAGGCCGAAGGATCAAACCATTTTATCTTCAAAAGGCATTAGCTCACCATGTCAACTATCTTATACCTTTTTTTTTTAGTTTTGGATAAAATCAGATAACTTTTTTTCCTGTTTAACCAGTTAACCTTTTCTCCTCCTTTTATTTTATCTTTTGATTCACATTTTTCTTTAATATGGTGATGATAGCAATATAAGGGGAAAAATAAATTTCTTTTCACTTTGATTTCTTCTTTAGTTTTATTCCTACTTATTTTATCCTTCCCTTCCCATCGATCCTTTCATTTTTTGTAAGAAATAGCAGAAAATTACACCAGCATATAGCAGTTGATAAAGAGAGAATCCAAGCAAAAGCAACAAAAATAATATACATAAAACAATTTGTTCCCTTTAAGGACAGGAAGAGAATAAAAGTATAGAACCTGATAGGAGAGCTACATATTTAAACAGCCAAGAGGGAAAGAAATTTAACACCGAGACATACCTCCTCAACCGGAACTTCCTCTGGCAATTCCTCTGTTTCTGGAACTGCAGGCCTCTTACTTTCAGACCTAAGCATCCAATCCAATCCCATTTCTTTTCTTGCAATTTCCATCTCACTTGTAGAATCTACCGTGCCACTGCCAGCTTCACCTTTGATCTTGTTCCTCTTACTCCCGTATTTTCTGTCTGACTTTTGGCGCTTCCCTTGTCGACCCAAAAAACTATCACTACCATCAGAAGAACATGAGGCGTCTTCCTCATCCTCAGATGTATATTCTTTTTTACCACTCATCGATCTTGATCTTCCTTTTGACCTTTCACCAGAATCACCATCATCCCTTTTCTTTTTTGCTTTCCTCCTTCTCTTCTTTTCATCTTGCTCACTTTCACTTTCAGTTGTGTAAAATGAAGAATCTTCTTCGGACGAATACCATTTCTTCTTTCTAGATCCTTTCTTTATCTTATCAAGCTCATCATCATCATCGGAGCTGTTCCTAGAGCTCCTCCCTTTCCTCTTACTCTTTCCCCTCCTCTTATCTGATTTTTTCCTTTCTTTCGAGATAGAATCCAAGTCCTCATCATGCACCTGTCATACATGTATCAGCCAAAACAATGGGAACAACAACAGTAACACTCACACTAAGATGCAACTTGATAGCTCTACTCACCTGGTCCCGGGGAATGAATTTCACGCCTGAAAGCATTTTCTAGATTGCTACACTGTACCAATGTCTGCATAAAAATAAAATTACGAAAAACAAGACACAAATAAGGGTTTTTATTTGAAATACTCCTCAACACAGGTCATAACAATCGAAAATTCGAAATAACACAGTATGCAGAAGTAGAGATAACCAAAATATATATATATATATATATATATAGGGATTAATAGCAAATGAACAGATAAGAGTGTTGTAGGGCGAAGAAAGTAAGAAAAGTTCGGGATGCATAAAATTGAACCGGAACATTGCGTGGAAATTGAGTGCAGAATTTCGTCGACTAATCGTGGAAAATTGAATTTCAAAAAGAGAGAGAGAAACCAGCGATGGTGAAGAACATACCCTAACAAAACGAATAAAGATGCCGGTGGAGAGTGTTCTCAGGCAACGACGACACGAGGAAAGAGGAGAAGCTGGTTGCGATCTGCCTTGGGTTCAGACGCCGCCGTTTTGAGCTTTGCACTCCTTGTCGTTCTGTTAACCCCGCACGATTTCTTTTCAATTTTATTGAAAATAATAGTTTATTTTTTAGATAATAATATTGAATATTTACGCCCTAATTGGTAAGCGAGAAATATACAAAAAATAGGATGGAGAGTTACGAAATTGGTAAGAAATAAAATTTGTAACTTGTTAAGAATCAACGAAATTTGTCGATTAAAAAAATTAAAAAGTGTGAGTCTCTTATTTTTTATTATTTTTTTTATAAAAATAGCATAAAATCTCTTTTTTTTAAAAAAAAAAACAGCATAAAAATGAACGACAATAACTTAAAATTCATTGATATTCGACTAAATAAAGGTTTTATTTGATTACACTTATTTTTGAAAATGTTAACAGATTTTATTTTATTTAATTAAATAAAAATTTTATTCGATTATGTTACTTACGAGAATGTTTATAAAACTTTTAATCGATTAAAAAAAATATTCGAATGAAAGTTTAAAATTTATAACTTTCAATCGGTTACAAAATAATCTGAGTTGATTCAAAATTTGTTATCCCCATGAAAAATTTGTTATTTGAATAAAATTTAAGACGAGTTATTTGAATTGAAAAAATCTTTTTTAATTTAAAAATTTGTTATCCGAATGAAAAATTAATAAAAAAAAATATTTTTATTTTTGTATGTCTTACTTTTTACTCTATTTATTTATTAAGACTTATATACCTTATTTTTTATCTATCTCTTCCTATCTTATTAAACATACATAATATTATTTCTTTTCAATTAAATAATTAAATTTTTATTCTTTTTATTCTTTATTATTTTTCTCCATTTTATTTCTCACTCAGTTTATTCTCTTTATTAATGGGCTACCATGACCCTAATCCACTTATTCAGCAACTTTGTGGCCCAGATTCTTAATGGCTAAATGTGTAATTAATGAGGAGTCCATATAAAAGGCCTGGCTACATGCACTCGTGGATCGGCTGTACTTTTGCTTTACACTTTTTCTTCTTGGCACCAAAGGTTTTGTGCGAATACTGGTAAATTAATCTTGATTTTATTTTACTGAATCATAATACTAAATTTTAAAACATATATTAATATAAAAAATTACAAAGAAGATAATAAAATTCAAATTTAGAACTTTAATTATATTATTCTAATCTCATCACTAAATTAATGCTAGTGATTCAAACTCAAAAGAAAAACAAAAATAGAAATAGTTGGAGAAGTTAAAGGTGATATTTCAATTTTCCATGATTTTGTGGTGAGTGTTTTTCCATGTGCAAACTCTCTCTAATTTATATTTATTTTAGCACATTTTTACACAAATATAATCATATTTATATTATTTCATAATGAATATGTAATTACATTATTTTAAATGTGGTATTACATATATATGTAGAAAACATGCAATTGTTTATATTCTTATAGTATATTTATATTCAATATATTTATATCTTATTATATATAAATTTTTTAATATAATTAGCATAGTAGTTAGACATTACGTATCCACATATTATGAAGATGAACTGTAATAAGTAACTCGATTTTTACTATGTATAAAAACTCGTAAAATCAACAACGATAATAGTATTATGAACGAGATTATTCTCTAATTCGTTGAGTTAGGAAAGTCACATGACAAGAAAAAAAAATTGTAATAAATATATTAATTATTTATTTATTGTTATAAAGTATATAAGAATAAATATATTACATAAAATGATAAAATATATTTATATTTTATGTATTAGAAATTTATAGATTCAAGAATTCGGTCTAATAGTTCTTATGTAAAATAGAATTTGGCCCGCGTTATTAGTTACATATGGAATATTTTTCATAAATGTTACCATGAATGAATTTCTTCTAGTAGTTCAATAATGAGAACTATGTAGTAGGGTGAGATGTTGTTCAATTCTCATGTCTAGGGGTTTGTGAATTTATTTCTAATTTTTGTCTGCCAAATCAACGCAAGGGCCCAAAAAATGCCATGTTTATCAATACAATGTGTACCATTCAAAAAATAGAAAATATCAGGGTGAATTCAGAATTTCATATTTAAACTTATGAAAAGGCATATTTAATTTGCAAATAACTAATCTGTCCCTAGCTATCTGCTCCATTGAAAAAAAAAAAAAAAAACTAGTTATCTTGGTTGATTGATGGAAATGCCTAGAAGGGTACCACTTAGGCGCAAAGTACCAATGTTTGATCCCAGGCAAGAAAAACATGTAATGGTGACACATGGATAATAATGGAGATGAACAAAACGCAAATTTAGAAAGAACCATGGAATGGAAATCAATGAATAGAGGCCACAAGAGTCAGAAGAGGCAGATTAGATGGACATGGAAATTGAATTGTCATTCTCTATGCACCTATATAGTATATGCGTGGACCCATACAATTCATTTTGACAAGGATGCTGTTCATTTAAAAAGTCATACATAATAGTATTTGAAATATTTTAGTTGGAATATTAGTTTTTATATAGTTCGTTACATACTAATAATCTAATATGTTTAGTAATTAAAAGAAATTACAAAATAGGTTAAAAGTAATTTTTCATACTCCCATGGAAAAATATTGCTTTCTCAACCTTGATCATTAAAAGAAAAATATTAAAAAATAAATCACAGTAAAAATCAACAAACTCAAATAAATTTTCAAACATAAAAATATTTGGGTTAAATTATTCATTTGATTTTTTTATTTATCTTTTTAATTCAATTTAATCCTACTATCTCTAAACCAATCAATCTAATATTGCATTTATTTAATTGATGTCAATGTTTGATTATCATTAAATTAAGTTAAACAATGTTATGAGACATGTCAACGTGTCTATCGCATTGGAACTTGTATGATAGGGGGCCACAGTTGGAGCTGAATACGCCGTCACACAGAGTCACAAAGAAGCATAAACTCTAAATCTTTCTCCTTCCTTTTTCCCATTCCAGATCCATGCAGCTCTCTCCTTCCTTATCCCTTGTGTTGGTTGTTGGGTTATTGAGATTTAGGTTGGAACCGTAAGTAAGGATTTTATTTTGATTTTTGAATGTGCACATCTGATTTGGAAAAGGGAATACGTGAAGATGAAGAAGGAAAAATAAGAAACGGAAAAGTCATCAAAAAATCATTATCCATGACAATATGCAAAGGTCAGATAAAAAAGTAAAATAGAGGGGAAAAAAAAAACTTCCGCCAACTTCAACAATGACACATGACGATCTAGGTAATATGACTCGGAGGGATTGTTGGAAGAAGAAAAGGTAAATCGAGAAGAAAAAGAAAAAGAACAAGAAAAGAAAAAATTTCATTGATTAATTTACAATAATGCAAATCTAATGACTCACAAATTTTTTTCAAAGTGAGAGACATTATTTAGTCTCACATTATAAAATTTGTCTAAGACTATAAGTCAATTAAAAAAATATAATAAATCCATGTCATATGATCATATTATGTAGGTATTTATCATTAGTTATTTAAACAGAATTAACGAAAATCAAACATTAATATTAATTAAATAAAAATAGACTAAATTGACTATTTTAAAATAGTAAAAATAAATTAAAACAAAATTAAATAAAAAGATGAAGAATAATTTAACTAAATATTTACATTTCCAAAAATAATAATATAACCCGTCAAACCAACAGTCCAATAATAGCCTACACTTGAACACGCTTTGATTTGAAAGGGCTTTGGCATTTCCTCTTTTCTCAATTTGTTCTAAATGTCTAATCATGAATGAATAGCTAGCAATGCACTGTACATGCCAGGTGCAAACGATTACCAGTTGTGTGATTGATTGATATGATGGTCAAACATTGAATTATTATTATATAACTAAAGGAAATACAGGGTTACCCTTACCCATCAAATTGTACAAAAAATTATCGATACTCAACATTATACACCGATAATCAAAATAATTAGTTTCACGCATAAACTTTTTATGCAGAAACAATGGTTTAATATTAATTTGGCAAGGTGTTGGCATAATTACAACTCAGAGTGCGCGTAAAAGCAGAGCAAATAAAACCAGTGGCTCAACTAGCTGGAGCTAGCTCATGCATGCAACACATATGGGCACCAGAACACCATCCAAGTGATCAAAGTTACTATATGTTAATATACATGCAACGAGTCTTTCAACCAAAATGATAGCCAAAAAGGAAAAATAATAATTAAATACATAATTACGTTAAATTCAAGTGATGAGAACACCTTACCACTCATAATAATTCTACCTAATTCAAGTAAAATGATATTCCATAAAAGATATTTGCTGTCTTTAAAATAATATCACTATAAAAAAAAATTGCATATAGATATGCTAGATTTTCTACAGTTTCCCACTATTAAGATAGAAACATTGACACTCATATTAAATGATCCATCACAATCATTTCCACCAAAAATAAAGGAGGAAAGATCCATCGCATTTATGGACGATGCTATTGTATGGGTGCAATGAAATTAATGATTACGAAGTTCTTTTCTTTACTTATACTTTTGAGTAGAGGAGATACTGGATTGTAGTTCAGTTTTCATTTCATACTAAATCATGCTAAAAGGGTTAATTGTCTTTTGAGATGCTCAAATATTACCGAAATTATTTGTTTTTTTTTATAATAAGTGAACATTTCTTAAATAAATAAATAAAAACATTATATTTATGTAAATTAACGTACATGATCACAATTCACAAGGATAATATTACATAATTTTTCAACACATGATTTACTAACGTAAGAAAGGAGTTTTAAATAATTAAACAGAAGCCACGCGTCCACAAGAAGATGCTTGAAGAACTAAAAAGAAAGTTGAAAGTTGAAAAAATATATGTTTCTTTGAGCAAAAGAAACCAGCTAGAGTGCGGCTTGATAATAAGTAATTTACCCCTATCATTCTCAAATAATTAACTCCCCACATTCAATAATTTTGTCCATTCATGTCAAGTGGCTATTGTCACTATATTTGCGGAGACACACATAATTAGAGACAAAAGTCCTTGTCTAACTATTATTTTAAACATTAAACTTTAGCACAAGTAATGCATATATTAAGGACACCATTGCCCTTAAAAATATTGTTATATAGCCCCTTTCCCTCCCTCACTCTTTAATTTGCTTTCACTTCCTCTCTGTCAAATACTCTGTTCTGTCTCTGCTCCCTCCCCTATTCTGTTCAAACCCCTTTTTCTGTTCACTTCAAAAAAAACAACAACAAAGGGAATGGGTGCTCTTGATTTCCTTTCAGATTACTTCTCAGTTTCCACCCCTAAAAAGAAACGCAAACCAATGCAGGTTTTCATCACCTCCTATACCATATCATTTGTGTGTGTTTTAGTTGTGGTCTTAGTCTCAAGCAAATTATGATTTTATTTTCCTTTTTAATTATTTTTCTCGCAGACAGTTGAAATCAAGGTGAAAATGGACTGTGACGGCTGTGAAAGAAGAGTTCGGAATTCTGTTTCCAACATGTCAGGTTCGTATCTGTCTTTCTTAATTAATTACTTCCTCATATTTGTCTCCAATTTTTCAACCAAAGATATGAAAAAGAAACCTTCCTATTTTCATCTTCTTGTCTAGATAAATCACCCTAATAAATTAATTTTTTTGGTATTTTAATAATTTTCTCTATTAGACTGTTCAAATTCTCAAGGAACAAAATTTGAGTGAAGTGTCTCAGCTGTTAATGGTGCTAACATTTTTTTTTTATTGAGAATTAAAGTTATACTTCAGTAATCTATATTGACATTTAATGGGAATCATAATTATACATATTATTATGTAGGTAAAACTCTAACTATGGTTTATTTTTTTTCATGAATCTAATCTAACTATGATATACAAACAACACTAAAAGTAAAAACATCTAAAGAATTATATCTAGATGTTGTCCTTCTTAAAAGACTTGATTCAGATGTTGTTGGTGAGTAGAGAAAACAAAGGATTGATGATAGTTAACATGGATTCAGGTGTGAAACAAGTAGAGGTGAATAGAAAGCAAAGCAAGGTAACAGTGACAGGTTACGTGGACAGAAACAAGGTCCTAAAGAAAGTGCAAAGCACTGGAAAGAGAGCAGAGTTTTGGCCCTATATTCAGTACAACTTGGTGGCATATCCCTATGTGGCACAGGCATATGACAAGAAGGCACCCTCTGGCTATGTCAAAAACACCGAACAAGCACTCCCAAACCCAAACGCACCTGATGAGAAACTCACCTCCCTCTTCAGTGATGACAACCCTAATGCATGTTCGATCATGTAAATCAACATGCTAGGACTACCTTAGCTTGCAAGTTCATATGCTTCACTTTTTATGTGTGCATATATAGTTTCTTGGAGGCTATTTTTGAATCTCTCAATTTCTAGCTGTATTGTCTGTGTTCTAGGGACTAGGAATTAGGTTCTGCGTTTAAGTTGGAAGAATAGATGGAAATTCTGTTTGCTGCATGTGACAATCGTTGATATAGTTGTGTACTTGTGTAGTTATGTTTAAATATTAATAGCTACTGTTATACTTTATGATCATCTTGTGCAAAGTTTTTATAAAATAAGTAGTTCTGAGTAATTACGTGCCAGGATCAGGTTTCTGTTTCTTAATATGCGTTTACTCACACAAACTACAACGTTGGGGGCTAAAATGGAAATAAGAATATTTTGATTGGTGATACAATGTTAAGGATACAGTTTAGTTTCAAGGACAAATGTGCTGTGCGTAAATACTCCTTATCTATAAAAAATTTTATCATCCTCTACTTATTTTCATTTTAATCTTATTTTCTTCTCATCTCTTTCTTACTTTTCCATTATAGTATATTCTCTAGTAATATTAATATATATATTTTTTATTAATCTTCTATAATTTAGTTGACACAAATTAATTTTTCAAGAGAAAAAACAGTGATCGAATAGTTTTTTAAGATTACAAATGTGTAATGATTCATCCCTTGTTCGTTTAATAGTTATGGAGACTAATTTGAGTTACTAAGTAATGGTATTGTAGAGACTAAATTTATACAATTTTTTAGAGAATAGTTATATTTTAAGAATAGAAGAAAATGGTTAAAGTAAAGAATATCCTATATTTATAAGTTTGATGACTATTTTATTATTTTTCTTTGAAAATTAATTACTAAATTGGATCAAGTAATTCTTTTAAAAGGCAAATTAATGTTTATCGTAAAATTATAATATTTTTAGAAATAAAATAATTTATATTTTTTTGGTTAATACTATATTTTTTTTTTCACATAGATAAATTTTGCTTGAATTGAATAAGATAGTTATGAATGATAAACGAAATTCTTTTATCATTTAGTATATATGATTGTATACTCATGATTTGTACTTGAGATTATAAATTGACTAATAAATATTCTGGTCGGAAAAAGCCTACTATAAAAATCACTGTTACTCAAGGTATAGAACAAGTGCGAAAATAGGTAAATAAAATTTTATAAGAATTTAGTTTATGTTGTTTACGTAATATATTCTTAACTCGTGTTAATTTATTTAAAAGACTCTTTTATAATAAGGTTTAATTAAGATATAATTTATCTTTTAGTTAATATATATGTGTGCGCGTCTATATTTAATATTAATTTAAATAATATATATATATATATATATATATATTTAAAATAATAATAATAATAATAATAATATTTATATTTAACTACTTAATAAAGGCTCGTAGGCTTTTTAAATATCTTACAGTCTAACTTTTTTCTTTTATCAATAGGAGTACGATTAACTAAAAAAATACAAAATTTTCACTTAATTTATTTCATAGAAAGACTTGGCCTAGCAATTTTTATAACTCGATTCAAAGAAATTATTGATGGTTTAAATTTAAGAAATTAAATTCAATGCATTTTGGAGATAGATTTAGATTTCAACTCAATCTATTTTCACATTATATATGTTAAAAGTTAAATTAACTTTTGGTTGATCATTTGTAATAATAAATTCTAAATTTTGAATTTTGAATTTTTATTTTTGTAATTTTAGTCTTTTAATTTTATAAAATTCACAAATTTGGCTCCTCATCCAATGTTCATCTATTAATCGATTAAATTATAATATTAATCATGATATGAGATTAAATAGATGACATAAAATTAGTATTTAATAATATTCAAGTTAAATTTATTTTTATTTATTTCTTATTTTTATCACAAAAGAATAGTAAAATGAAATAAAAATGAAAATTAAAAATGTAATTTAGTCTAAATATTATTAAATATTAATTATTATGTTATCTATATGATGTTAGATTGTTAGATCACAATAAAGGTAATTTTAACAATTAATAAATGCACATGTAAATAAGGAGACCAAAATTATGAATTTTAAAAAATTGAGAGACTAAAATTACATATTTAAAAAATTGAAGGAAAAAAATTGTAGATTTAATTTTAGAGGGAGACCGAAATAACAATTTAACCTTTATTAAATTAAAATAATTATCATAAATAAGATTATTTTTATATGTTATTTTTAACATGAAAATTATTGTAATACAAAAAAAAAATACTAAAAAAGAACTTAGTCATCATCTAAGTCAAAAATAGTTAAAAGACGAATTTTACTTGTCTTTGTCCTTGAATGAAGATTTTATAGATAATTATTAAATCTTTTGGACACATTAAATATCATATTTTGATGTTTAATCATAGTCATTAATAATTAATTTATTTATTATTGAATACTATATTTTAATATTTAATTATGATAATTAATAACTAGATTATATATTAAATACGAGTCTTGAGTCTAATTGATGTTGAATAATTTACACTAGTTAAAATGAAATACAAAATGGTTGTATCGAACAAATTCAGATTAGAGTCATAAAATTAATTCTATAAAATTTAAAGTCTAATAGAAACACAAAATAAACCGTGTGACAAACACCTGAGCAACGACTAACGTATTTTCACTACTAATAGTCTGCCACATTTTAGTATGCCTTTAGTGTCTCTGCCGACTTTCACCCGTCATTTCAGCAAACACTTTCTTAAATTAAAAACCTCCGATACTTGGAATTCATCTATACTGCTCCTTTTTAATCCAATTGTTCATATTTTGCCTACCCTAATGAATTTTATATAAGATATATTATATTATATAAATAACCATCAAAATAAGCAGAAGTAGGCTGCAGATAAGAACAAGGGGGAAAAAAATGCGGACCCTTGTTAACTTTTTATCCGATTAATTATTTATTAAATTGCTTATCATTATAATATCTCCCATGCCTTTTTTATATTAAAAAATAGAATAATAGCTTTCCTTTTAAATAAAATAACATATAACAAAATTCTGCTGTCATGTTTGTCAAACAGTAGACATCATAGTATCTTGCTTTCCCTTTAATTTTGGGATTATACAGCAAAAGGACAATTTGGTAGAATTTAAACGCATTAATTAGCAGTGCTAGATTTTACAGAATGTCAGTGACGACATATGACTAGATCAAATCTAAATTAACGTATTATTAAATTATCATGGCAACTATATAATGAATTGCTACATATTTGGTCAGTGTGTATGTACAAGAAATATTCAGTAGGAGAAAAATACATACCAAAATGTTGAATGGTTAAAAAAATTTCACACTCAACATCATTTTGTATGTATTTCTCTTCTATCGAAATTTTTTAATACAATAAAGGATACATAGTCGAATTTTATATATTGCGGGGAGAATTTTATTAAAATAAAATTTTGAAAGAATAAAATTAAGATAATGATAAATACATATGATTAATTTTTAAAATTCAACAACATAATTATATAAATATTTTATATTTAGGGAAGATGGGTAAGATCTTAAAAGCGGCGTATAATTGTATAATGTTAGATATTTCAGATTGAAAAAAAAAAGTTATATAAAGGATACAAAAAAAATTGAAATTGAAGGAAAAAATCTAAATGTGAATAAAAAATTAAAACAAGTAATAATTTATTTTTAAAACAAAAGTAAGTGCTAAATAATAATAATAAAATCATGTGTTACAAGAAAATATAATATAACTAAGGGCATTTTCAATGGAAGCAATTCATTTGAGTTGTTTCATGTATTGAAAAATGAAAAAAGTAGTCCCTAGTGTGCCATGTTAGTATTAAGCAACTCAAACACAAATTTATTTCAATAATAAAAAACTTTAAAAAATTTAATTTTTAGAATTTTTTTTAATCATTTATGAACTAAATTTAAATTTTTATTAAAAATGATAATTGCACTACAATGAAAGAAAATAAATTACGAGAAAAAATACACAATAATTAGATATTAAAAATAAAATAAAGCAATAGTAAATACACAAACATTATACGAAATTAATTTTCATTATTATTATTTCTGAAACGTTTCTAAATATGTTCAATAAAATCTGCTTGAAATCTGGTAAGGAACGGTTGCTTGAGGAAACAACTCTCTCTCTTCTTCAAGCAACTCATGTTGCCATGTTAGAGTCCTCCAATAATAAAAAATTTGAACTTGAGTTATTCTATGGGACAAACAACTCGTTAAAGCAAACAAGTGTTTTGTAATACTGATTAAGAAATATTAGATTGATTATGAATTTATGAAAAATGTTAAATCTTTTGAAATCCACACATCAAATTTTCTTCCTACCCATTGAAAGCTTAATATCTGTTAGCTGATTTAATTTAATATTATCAATTTTAACGGTGAGAGAATAATTCGATGTTTAAGAGTGAGAGGTTATAACATTGGTCAGAATTTAATGATCAAGCAAGCACGTGTATTTTCAAGGCTTGACATTTGATGGAGTGTGGATCAACCAAATTATGCGAACGACCACATTTTTTAGGCTTGAGTTTATGAAATGACTAATGATTGATTGTTTCCGATTGAGGACTTCCCAAAACGATTGAACCTTTTTGAACTTTTGGCCTAATAAAACTCAACAGATTAATATGATTAGTTCACGCGTAGGAGAGAATCATTGAAATTTCTTAGTTATTAAACCGCTTTAAAACTTTTCATACGCTCTTCAACATGGACATGTATTATTATCACATTTTGTGACACTGCATCATTTTATTTTACTAGATTTTTGCATGTATTACTCTAATGGCTTCAAACCAAGTGTTAGCACGAAAGGGTTGGAGAAGCCAGAACCTTGCCATTTTCCAGAGTTAAGTAATGAACTGGAGCCTTACATTTGGTATGAAATTAATTACTTGAAGGTAGCTTTTAGTTTAGGGAATAGGATTCAAAGGAAAATTATCCTTGCACAGTTGCACTTACTTACTGTAGGCTTCTTCTCTTTTTGTCTCTGAAAGGTTCAATGCATACTACACCTTTTTTGAAAAGTATCAAGGCAAAGAAATTGATATTATAGGGTAGACAGAATTTCGGGTTCTGCATTTAATGCAAATGCGAAATAACTTGAGTGCACTTTCTTACCTATTGAAATTGAAGTATATCCCCATTCCCCACGGGAACAAATAATTAATTTCTCCGTCTCTATCAAATTTGGCTTTGTTTTTTTTTTAATATATATTTTTTCTTTTGATTAGAGGAGGGGTCCATAT